TACCGCAAACAAAACAAAACAAAACACCACCAACAACCAAAAAACAGGAACACCACCAGGATTTCATAATATGTCAGATGACAGTATTAAATATTACTTCTGAAAATATTATCAGAACTGGACGATTAGGAAAGGTATTCTTTCAGTTAATATGAAACTCCTTGCAGAAAATTTCTGCAAGAACCTTTAAAAGAGTAAGGTACCTTTCATAACTGTCAAAGTTTATTAAGATGCCCAGCATACTGACAGCCCCCACATCTGGGCAGGATCACAAGGACCAATTCTAGGGCTCCATGGAGAGCAGAACCAGGGGCCAGAGCTCAGAAGTGGCCATAAGAGGTAACATTAGCCATAAGAACAAGGGAAAAGTTCTGATGGGGGCTAGGCCTAGCAGCACACCTATAATCCCAGCTATTCAGGAGGCTCGGGAGGAGGATCTTAAATTATAGGCCAGCAGGGGCTACACAGTGAGACTCTATCCCAAACAAACAAACAAGCAAACAACAAAAGAGTTCTAACAATGGGGTGTTAAAGACCAGGAAAAGCTATTTAGAGCAGCTGTGAGAGCTCACTCTTTGCAATACTAGAACAGACTCCTACCTGTCACATAATGGTTTTAAAGTGAAGAGCTTCTCAAAGTCCTACAGACCTACAGAACTACATCTACATCCAACAGTGTAAGTAAGAACACAACAGTTTTTCTGTAAAGTGGTACCTCAATTGGAAAATATTAAAAAGGTAGCTTTCTGTGCAGTTCCATGTGTCTTTCTGGATAACTGGGTCTCTCCAAATGCAGTCTTGCTTCTACTTTAAAACAGAAGTGAACTGCTTTCACTTTCCCAAATTTTAATTTTTAAAATAAATCCTAATTATAGCAGGGCTTGGAATTACTAAGCAGATCTCCCTAACTAGCTACATGACCTTGGGAAGTCACTTTTTGTAAAATGAGAGCCTTGGACTAAGATGTACTAGAATGTAAACTCTGTTCTGTTTGCCACTCTCGTCTTTGCCCCAGGGCATGGAAGGCATTAACTGAATGAGAGAATCACCGCAGTCTCCAAGCTACAAATATAAAGTAAACATATTAATTTTTCTTTTTTCTTTTGTGTGTTGAGGATGAAACCATGACCTCACACATGCTAGGCAAGCATTCTAGCACCCAGTCCTCATTTTTTCTTTTTAACCAATTAATTTTATTCTGTGTATTCTCAAACATTTTTAAGTGGATATTTGAAACTGCTGTGCTCTATCCAGAAAACAAGAATATATAATTTAAAGTAAGTGTTGAGAAATAAAAAGGGTAAATTGTGTAACAGTTGACAACCTTCATCCAGCTTTTTACTCTTTTCTTCTTTCCCTTTAACTCATTATTGTTTCCTGTTCCTTTTTCAGAAAGGGAGGCAGGCAGCAGGGAGAAAGAGTACTTGTCTTACAGTGAAAGACCCAAGTTCCAGCCCCTTCTCTTAGCTGGCTCTGCAAAGACAAGTCACTTCCCCTTTGGGGCCTAAGTAGCATTTGTAAAACAAGAGAACTGAGCTAATTATTAATTTCTAAAGTTACTTGAAAAATCTACAGTTCTAAACCGGGTGTGATGGTGCATGCCTGTAATCCCAGCACTCAGGAGGCTGAGGCAGGAGGATCACTTTGAGTTCAAGAACAGCCTGGGCTACATAGTGAGTTTCAGGTCAGTCTCAAATACAGAGTGAGACCCTGTCTCAAAAAAACAAAACAACAACAACAAAAAAAAAATCTATAGTTCTAGTTTTATTCTACCCATTATTCTAGTCCCGATGTCTTGATTTGGCTCTCACCACATCATTCCTGAATTTGCAGAGTAGTATCAAAGCCTGCCTCTTTTTCTTCTATTTTTCCTTTTTGTCTGCACTGCTACCAAATAAAGTCAGCCCTAAAACTATGAGTTAAACAATGAAAATCACACTGACTTTTGATGTCAGAGAGACCTGGCTTCAAGTTCTGACTCTGCCACTAAGTAATTACATCCCTAAAATGATTATGTGCTGTCTCACTAAGGACTTACAAAATGTACAAACAGCAAATACAGAGCCTGACACATTGTGGATGTTCAACAAGTAATTAGGACCTTTCCTTATTTCCCAGAATCAAAAACCCTGGTTTCCCACCATCTACCAGAAAGATGCACAAGCCGCACAGGAGGCATGCATGGGATTTTCAGAACCACAGAAGCAAACTCTGGGTTAAATATTCTCACCCTCCAAGCTCCCATGTGTCAGGAAAGCACTGGCCTGCAATTCTCCCCCCTTGTACTGTATCATGGGTAAGGCAGCCCCAATGACAGCCTTCTGAAACTCTCAAAAGTAAAACGGAGCAGCATCCCTAAGCCAAATCCACAGGTCAAGGGAAAATGAAGACTGACACTGCTTCAAACTCAATCTCACCTGGCCATTCACCTACCAAAAAAAAACAAAAAAAGACACACACTCCCAATTCTGTGTAGAGTACTTAACTGTACAGACAGCAAGCTAACTTTACACCACCAAGTATAGTAATTGGATTTTCAATCCTAGGAAACTAAAGTATGACCAAAACAAACAAAGTTTTCACATAATGCAGACACACACTGAACTCTTACAAGTATACAAATGCCTTCAGAAAAAGCTATGGCTTTCTTGATTTCAAAACTGGGTCAAAACTGGAAGGAACAAGGGGAGGAGTGATGGGAACTGGCAACAAGAAGCACATCTCTTAAAGTGACCTAAGTACAGTTACTTGGTTATATAGGAATTTTAAAAATTCTCCAAGTAAGAATAACATCAGTCTTTACTTCCACAGTTACTGGGTGACAGAGGGCCACCTAGCAAGTGTACAAAAGTCTGGAAACCAAGAAAACTTGTGCAGAAAACCGAGTTTTTTGAAATGCCACCATCTTTCTCCAGCTTCTTCAGCCTGAGCCAACTGCTGCAAAAGTGACAGTAAAAGGACGTAACACTACTCAGAACTCAGAAGGCTTAGCTTGATGAAGAATTATCCGAAATTCATTTGTTCGGCTAAAAACAAGTTGTGGTTAGGCCAAGCTTCTCTCCAATCAATCTGAAGAAATTCCTTCCAAGAGCTACCATTTTTTTTTCTGCAAAGTATTTAATCCCAAACACTGTTGATACTGGCTGATCTCTTCACTTTACTTCAGTGTCTTCTTCTTGCTCACAACCCTAACTAAAGAGGCCTCGTTTTCTCCACTTACATTTGAAGTCTCTGATCAGAGCCAACAGCCCAGAGCACCTTCAGATTCCTCCTCACACCCGGCTTAGCCAACCCCCACCCCCGCACGTCACTCTCACTGGCTATAAACTCATTTCAGACTTTATCTCCGCCCCCCCGCCGTGCTCCCCTGACCTACGTTAGGTTCCAGCTTCATCCTCCAGTTCCAGTCCTTAGCCCTCCGATCCCTGCCCAGGCCTCTTCTCCATACCTTCTCTCAGTCCAAGCCCCACTACTGCCTCAGTACACGACCTTAGTAAAGCCCTGTCCCCACAGCCCAGACCTTATCACAGAGCCTCCTTGCTCACCTTTTACCAATTCCAGTCACTCCCCGTTCCTGACTCTTCATTTTAGACCCTGCCTAAGGTTCTTTCTCACTCCTGACTTAAAAACCCAATCCCGCCCCTATCCCCAACAGTCCTCTCTCTGACCCC